GGCTGCCCGTGATCCTGCACCGCCACCACCAGGCTCTGCTTGAGCGCGTCTCTGTCCAGCAGGGCCCGCGCTGTGCGCACCTCGCCGGTGTGCAGCCCCACCGTGAAGAGCCCTGGCTCGCTGGCCTTGAGCAGGCGGTAGGACAGCCAGGCGTTCTGGCCAGAGTCTCTGTCCACCGCCACCACCTTGGTGACCAGGTAGCCGGGCTCTGCGGAGCGGGATGCCAGCTCCACGCCTGTGGAACCATCAGTGGGGAAGGTGGGATACAGGATCTCTGGTGTGTTATCGTTCTGATCCAGCACAAACAAGATCAGTGATACGTTACTGCTGAGCGGAGGGTCCCCGCCATCGCTAGCAGTCACCAGTAACTGCAAGTCTCGTATATGCTCATAGTCAAAGGAGCACAGAGCATATAAGATGCCTGTGTCTGAATTGATGGAGACATAGGAGGAGAGAGGGCTCCCCATGATGATGTCCTCAGTCACAGAGTAAGTCACCTGGGCATTTTTGCCACTGTCAGGGTCGTGAGCCATCACAGTGAAGACAGAGGCACCTCTAGGGTTGTTCTCTGGGATATAGGCTGAATAGGAGACTTGAGGGAAAGTGGGTGGATTGTCATTGATATCAGCCACATACAGGGTGATATGAGTTTCAGTAGATAGAGAAGGAGTTCCCAGATCTGAAGCCATCACTGTGATATTGTACACAGAGATCTTTTCTCGGTCCAGATAGTTCCATGTCACCAATCTATAATAATTATCTATTGATTTTTCTAGTTGAAAAGGTAAATTATGAGGTGTGTTACAGACAACTTGACCATTCTTCCCGGAGTCTCGGTCATGCACATTCAAGAAGGCAACTACTGTTCCAGGAAGAGTATTTTCCAAGACTGGGCTAAACAGAGAGGTAATGATCACTTCCGGTCTATTGTCATTCACATCTTCCACTGAAATGAGCACTTTGGTCCTCCCCAAAAGTGCCCCCACATCTTCAGCTTGTATTTCCATTTCATAAAATGCACATTCTTCATAGTCTAGACCCTCTGCTGTCGATATTTCCCCAGTATTTTCATTAAGCTGGAATAATGGGGATTGTTTTTCACTAATTTTCCAGAATCTATAGGCTACCTCTCCGTTGGCTCCCTCATCCGGGTCGCTAGCGCTCACAGTAAGCAGCCAGGTGCCTGGAGGCACGTTCTCTGGGACTTGCACTCGGTAAATCGGTAGAGCAAAAACGGGGGCATTGTCGTTTGTATCCAGCACTGTCACGTGGATGTGCACTGTGCTGGAGCGACGCGGATCACCGCCGTCTGAGGCGATGAGGACCAGGTGGTGAGCAGCCTCTTCCTCGCGGTCCAGGGCCTGCTCCAGCACCAGCTCTGGGTGTAGAGTTCCGTCGTCTCCAGTTTGCACTTCCAGGGAGAAGTGGTGATTGGGGCTGAGCTGGTAGCTCTGTAGGGAATTCATGCCCACGTCGGGGTCAACAGCCTCTGGGAGAGGATAACGTGTTCCAGGCGCAGCGATTTCATTAATTTTCATTTCCAGATTCTCAGTTTGGAATTTTGGGTTATTATCATTGATATCGGTGATTTCTATTTCTATCCCAAAAAGTTTTCCTCTGCCCTCAGCCAGGATGTTGATATTTACTAGACACTGTGTGCTCTGAGCACAAAGCTCCTCCCGATCTATCCTGCCCGCGGTGAGCAAGCTGCCAGTTTTCCCGTTCAGAGCAAAAAGCTGCGTCCTACCTCTGGAGACGATGCGGACTCCGTGCTTCCCCAGTTCTTGTGACTCCAGATTCAGGTCCGTGGAGATATTACCCACAAAGGATCCTTTGTCGCTCTCTTCTGGCACCGAATAGTGGATCTGTCCTCTCCCGATTTCCCACAGCGTGCCCATGAACACGCACAGCAGGACCAGCTTGCCGCGTTTCCGGTAGTTCTTTGGAGCGGCCATTGTTCTTTCACTACTGAATCCACTCAGCATTCTCATTGGGCATATGCGTCTTGTTTACCTTTTTGCTGCAGCTGTGGAGATCATCTTATAGAAAACTGGAGTGTCTCAGATGTAAGAACAGAGTTCCGCTGCAGCCCTGCAGCTAGTTTGTGGGATCTGCCGGTCTTTCCGAGATCTGAGCCTTTAGTAACCGGATGGCATTTGGTTACATTTATCTCCAAATAGGTGAACAGCGGCGCTTAGAGTCCTAAGCAGTTACTGCACCCACTTAGATAAGTACTAGTGTATGTTAGATTATTGAGGGAGGAAAAAAAATACTTGCCTTTTACAGCATGTTTTGAATTTGTCTCTGAATTCACATTTTAAAAGTTGTTGCCCAGAAGCATGGGATTAAGTAGGGTTAAAGTTTTACAAAGGATTATTAAATGATCCCCAAAGATTTATGGGATTGTCTCACTTTACTCAAATTTCTGGAATATGTTTACTCTTAAAATGTAAATCATTAACATTTCATTTCTTACTATGCACTGAGCTTTATTGTAAATCTGTTATTGAATAAATAAGGCCTCTAGTTGTCACTGGCAATAAATTCATTTTTAGACTAAAGTAGAACTATTGAACATGATTCACTTAGAAGGTGTTGTATTTGATGTAAACCAATTAATCATTATAGTAAGCCTTCAGTAGAGTTGTTGCTTTTTTAAAATTTTCTTTTTAAAATGCGATTTTAATTACATATTGATATGTTGACAAATATTGTTAAATGTTACAGGATGAATGCTTTCACTTTTAAGTTTCATCAGAGATTATATTATTTTGCTATTTCACTTATTTATTTAAGTAATCTCTATACCCAGGTGGGGCTTAAACTCACAACCCCAAGATCCAGAATTCTATGTTTTACCAACTGAGACAGCCAGACACTCTTTTATTTTGTTTTGTTTCGTTCTAAGATTTTATTTAATTTAATTTTAATTTTATTTTATTTGAAAGAGAATGAGAGTGGCTGGAGGAAGAGAGGAGGAAGGAGAGGGACAAGCAGACTCCCTGATATGCATGGAGACCAAGGCGCAGTTTGATCCCAAGACCCTGAGATCACAACCCGAGTTGAAGGCAGACCCTTAACCAACTGAGTCACCCAGGTGTCCCATGCAACCTTGATTTGTTACTTCATTTAAATTCTGTATTTTTTCTATTTGAATAGAAAATATTTTTTAAAATACAAATGAATACAAAATGAAAAGCAAATCTCCATCCTACTCTTCCACAGATGAGAGATGATTACATTTTAAAGCAGACTCAATTAACTTTGTGAAAAAGACATGTATTCTAAAGTTAATTTTGCCTTAATTAGTAATTTTTTTCCTATAGAGAATCTCTGCTGAGTGTGGAGCTGGATCTCAGGATTCTGAGATCATAACCTGAGTCAAAATCAAGAACCAGAGGCTTAACTGGTTGAGCCACCCAGGCACCCCCTTAAGTAGTATTTTGATCAAGAGAACCACAAAGAGGGAACACATAATTATCATCAAGCAATCAAAAAGTGTCACTACAAAAAAATTATGTCTCTTTTCTTCAGTTTGTAAAGTGGTCAGTGACTGAGCATCTGCTAACACATCTAGCTAAAGATGAAAAATGTATTATCATATCTATATAGATATCATATACATATATACTAGTATGTACATCAGATTGGCAATTTTGTCTAAAATTTGAAGAATTCAAGACTCCATTTTTTCCTAGAGATAGCAGAATGACTAGAAGTCTTCTGGCTATATGTGGGCTGCAAAAAAGACAATTTAAAATTATACAGGTATGTGTGAAAAACCTATGCTGCAAGATAAAGAAAATGCTTTTGTCTTCTGGTGAGCATACTGGTCTTACTGGTAAGTAAAATGCTTTTAAACACCCACACAGTTCATTGCATACAACTGGAATGTGCCCATCTACATTAAAATCCAGGTTAAGATACTTTATTCTAGGAGGCTTTGAAACAAAAGGAAGTAAATAGAAGAAACAAAATGGTAAAATCAGTTATGAAAAATATCTAATTTTAGCTTTTTGTTTTTGTTTTAAAGGTTTTTAAAATGATTGCCCACTTTTACATTTATACTATATCCAGCTAAAAAAGTATATTAGGTAATAGGAAGAAAAATGTAGGAAAAAATCTCATTAGCTTTTAGGAGATGGCCTATAACACTGATTCCCTTCCTAGATAAAATCACAATCTCACTGCTCCATAGATCTGAGCCTGTCAAGGCATCCCTAAAAGAGACATAACTGCTCCTACTTTAACTTCCCTTGAAGAATGGCATGATAGTTTTACTTTTTAGAGAAACTTTTAGATCTACAAAGTGTATATTTTTCCATGAAAAATAAATAATTGGGTAGATCATAAGAAGCAGGTTATGCTTAAAAGAAACTCACCAGATGGGATGTTGACTCACTGGATTTGCAAAGTGGAAATAAGGCCCCAGATGAATCCTCGCAAAGTATGTCTTGTTCTGAACTCAACTGCTCGTTGCACTTTAGAAAATTAAACTCCGTCTTTCCAGTGTGGGCAACGCACAAATTGTAGGAATAAGGCAAAGTCCCTTCACTGTAGGTGGGAGGAACCACAGGTCCTGACTTGACACACAGACCAGGCTGAAAACAGCCCCAGGTGGTGAGGCTAGAGGAGCGACGAAGGTGTAAGGCGATGGCCAGAGTCACAGCCAGAAGGAAAAGTACTGAGATCAAGGCCAACGCTACAACCAGGTAAAACTGCAACTCAGCCTGGGGATCAGAGAGTGTAGGACGGTCGCTGACATCCGGCAGCACCTCCTGCAAGCTGTCGGCGAAAAC